GCTGAATGTTTCTAAAGTTCTTGGGCTAGCTGGACAGATTTATTTTCTAAAGGGTTGGACTTCCTGTCATGCTGCCAGAGTTCTGTTTGCCTCGCGTGGGCCCCCTGAAGGTGACCAGAGGTCAGCCACAGGGAAGGCAGAGCCCCTCCCCATGTGTCCCTGGTTTCCTCTTCCCTTGGGGCCTCCAGTGGCCTGGGGCTTCAGGGAGCCAAGGACCAATCTCAGCACAGACGTTTAATCCTGGGGGTCCCGGGACTGCTGAGAGGGAACAAGAAGGGGGCTTAAGAAGGCTGAGGGAAGACAAGAGAAGGGCTTGGGACTCTGCATATATATCGTTATCTTCTAGCCCCAAGTCCCAGCATTTGGGGCCACAGTAATAATGGCTCAAGCAGTCATTGTGGGCAAGGTGAGAGTACAGGTCTTGTACCTGTGCCTTGGGCAGGTACAAGACCGACCCAGGTGAGAACAATCAGATACTGAGCAACCAAGGCATGATGTGACCTAGGCAGCTGCCCTCCCCTCCCCCTGCCTCCCATCAGCCATCCCTGCTTTGTTCTCTCACGAACGCTCCATTGCCAATTCATTCTCCCTGCCCCTGGTGCTGCTTTTCTTTCTCTCTCTTTTTTAAGTTCTGCAAGCTTTGGGACTCCCAAATTCTCCACTTTGCCTAAAGTTTGAATGCTCCAGTTTCTGTGTCAGGTAAGTCCTGGCTTTGAATGAGGGTAAAGAAGACCCTTCCTTTTCTTACCTGAGGTGCCCTGTACCGTAGGCATCAGCTTTGGGGGATGTAGGCATTGCTTTGAAATCACTGGGAGACCACCCTTTCAGTTACTGTTACGAGGACAGGACGGTCTAACATGCTGATGTTTTGTGGAAATGGCCCAGAACTGGGATTGAGGGGATTTCTGGGTTGCCTCCCACCCACTTTGGGACCCTGGACATGGAAATGCCCTTCCTTTTCTGGCCGCAGTTAGTTCAGAGAGGGGGTGGCCTAGATGGTTCTATGATAGATACACGCAAAGGGGTGTTCTTATCCACATTCTGTGTGAATAGGGCAGTCTCTTGTAATTCTGGGATTGTCAGACGAGCATCACCATCGAGGGACTTTTTGATGACTCTTTCTCCAGATTTCCTTTTTGTGTCCTTCCCTTTCTGGGTCCCTCTGTCCCTGTTCCTGTCCAGCATGGTCTCCCGCCCTCTCTGGCCACCACCCTAACACTCCATGTCTGCCCCTTTGCTTCCTTCTCCTACCCCTCAGGGCTTTGGGGCAGGATCCTTGAGGCCAGGCTTCTCCTCTGTTCAAATTCTCTGCCCGGGAGCAGACCTCCCAGGTGCCAGTGTTTCCAGAAGGACCTTCTAGAGACCATGCCCCCATCAAATACAGGAGATAACCTCAAGGTGACACTTTCTGGCAGGTGAGCTAGAGGCAGGCAAGCCAATGAAGGAGTCTGGGAAGCAACATGGGCCGACTTTCCCCCTGGCCCAAGGCTCTAGAGGAGACTTTCATCCGCTCCTTGCTGCCTTTGCATTCAGGGCCTGGCTGCCTGTTTGTTCCTGGTTGAAAAGACTTCCTGCAAAGTTCACCGCCATGGACCTCCAGCTGTCCGGACCTCTCCAGTGCCCAGGGCTCTTCCATCAAGCCTCACAATGCACGGGATTGAGAGAACGGTTTAAAGCAGGGAAACCCTCCTCCCAACTCTCAGGGCTCCCCAGTAATGGCCCCGTTCTCTGAGGTGAAGAGCCCAGCCCCCAGAGCAGTCAGGCCTTAGGGACCTCTTAAAGCAAGTGTCCTGGGGCTTTGGCTGTCCCACAGAGGGGCCAGGAGCCCCAGCCACTCAGCCTCTGACAGAGGGGCCTGGCTGAGGCTTAGTAAGGCCCAGCAACAGAAAAGCATGTTCTAGCTTCCTCCGGTCCTAATTTCTCAGACTTGTCTTCAGGAACTTTGGATTTAGTTCTCCCTCAACCCATGCCAAGATCGGGCTCTTTGGAACTTATTCTTGTGGCAGGAGGCCTCCCTTTGATGACTGTGTCAAATGAGATGGAGCCTGGCCAGGTTGTTATAGGAACTCGGGAGAATCCCTGGAGTGGGAAAATAATGAGAACACGGGGCCATTCACCATTCAGCGCTGGAAAGTAGAGCATTCATTGTCCCATGGCAGAGGCTGTGGCGTGGGAGGAAGCAGGCTTGGGGTGGGGAGCTTGCCGCATCACTGCGAGGCCTTAGGGGGGCCGGGGGGAGGTGGGCTGGGGGCACACAGCAAGGGTCTGACTAAATTCTGGGTACAAAAACTAAACTTCTCATGTTGTGGCCATGTGACCTTAAAGAAGTTAAAACAATCAACACGATCCCATTTTGTTGAAAAACAAATGCGTTAAATCCAGGAGGAAAATCATCCTCACTCTGTTTAAACCATTCTCACTTCTGCGGTGGTTATCTCAGTAGTGTGTTGATGAGGGATTTAAAACAATCTTTTGTGCTTATCTATTGTTTTCTGACATTCTCTCTAAACAGCATGGGTTAGTTGCCCCACCCCCACCCCACCCCTGCCAAAAAAATCCCACCAAGCTATCTCCACTTTGGAAACAGATTCTGGGAAGAGACTCTGGAATTTTGGAATTGATATGCAAACCTTTGAAGGGGGAGGGGCAGTACTCTCCTGCAGTCAGGCTGCTCTTAAGTAAGAAGTTTCCCTGCTCTCTGATGCGCTAGATTAGACCAGTGTCCACAGGTACTTCACCTGCTGGCCTGATGGGTCACGTGGTCTGACTGGCTTGTCTGGGCCCACAGGGAGTCCGGCTGTTCCTTCCCATCCTACCGGACTGCCCCATCCGCGGGCTCAGCAAACACCCTGTCTGCCCCCTGGAAGCCCTTCCTGGTGTTGCATCCTGCCTTCAGACCAGGGGGCTTCTGTTGAGGTCTCTGCATTTCCATCCTCAGCTAGCCTTGTCCTTCTATCAAAAGGGAAAAAAAAAAAAAAAAGAGGGGGGAACAGGGCAGCTTCACTGGGTTTCTTTACCCACACCGGACAACACTGATGTCTGGGTCCCTCGTCTAACCTTGACATAGGCTGCCTTCTATGGCTGTTGTCTGTTTCTTGTTAATTTTTTGAGGTATAGCATACATACGATAAAATGCACAAATCCCAAGTTTATGGCTTAATACATTTTGACTTATGTTTATACCCCTGTAACCACCACTCAGATGAAGACATTGGACATTTCCATTACCTCAAAGGGTTCCCTCATGCCTTTTCCAAGTCAGCACCCTGCTCCACCCCCCCACAAAGTAACACAATCATGACCTCCACCATGTTAGTTAGATTAGCTTTGCCTGTTTTTGAACTTTATACATACTCTTTGGCATCTGACTTCATTATGTATATCAGCCTTTCATTGCTATATAACAGATCACCCCGAAATATAGAGGCTTCAAACACTATTCAGTTCTTTTGCTCACTGGTTTTCAGTTTGGGCAGGGCTCATAGGGGATGGTTCATTACTGTTTCATGCGGTGTCCACTAGGGTGGTTTGATGGGGGATGGGGAAAGTCCATTTCAAGATAGCTCACTTGCATGGCGGGCGAGTTGATACGGACTGTCAGCTGATAGCGCAACTGTAGCCATGGGCCAGCGCCTCGGTTCCTGTCCAGGTGGGTCTCTCCATATGCTGCTTGGGCTTCCTTACAGTATGATGGCTGAGTTCCAAAAGAGCGACCATCCCAAGAGAACAAGGTGGAAATGCAAGGCATTTTTGTGACATAGCCTCAGAGGTCACATAGCCTCACTTCAGCCATACTCTGTTGAGACAGTCATGAAGGCCTGCCCAGGATCAGCGGGAGGACACATGGACTCTACCTCTTGAGGGGGACATAGGAATGTTCTAGAAGAGAATGGGGCATGGCAGATATTGGAGTGTCCATCTTTGGAAAATACATTTTGCCACATTATGTCTGTGAGATTCATCCATGTTATAATGTGTCTTTGTAGTTTGTTTTTTAAGTTGTTGTGTAATATTTCATTGTGTACATATACTACGATTTACCTATCCAGTCCACTACGGACATTTGGATTGTTTGCACTTTGCAGCTATTTGAATAGTGCTGCTATGAATATTCTTTTTTTTTTTTTAAAGATTTTATTTATTTATTTGAGAGAGAGAGAGAGAGAGCACAAGCAGGGGGAGCAGCAGAGGGAGAGGGAGAAGGAGGCTCCCTGCAGAACAGGGAGCCTGATGCAGGGCTTGATCCCAGGACCCTGGGATCATGACCTGAGCCAAAGGCAGACGCTTAACTGACTGAGCCACCCAGGCCCCACTGAATGTGCTGCTATAAATATTCTTATACAAATATTTTGGTGGACAAAGGCTGCCTTCTATCACTGTTGCTGTCTCTTTAGCTTTTAAGATTTTACACATGATACAATTCTATCTTCTTCTTTTCCCTCTCTCTCCCCATCAGTTACTGTAACCATATGCACTTTAGTATGTAAATCTCTGCTAGTGTTTTTAAAATGTTGAAAAAAATTATGAGTATTACAGAAATATGTTATCTTTATAAAAACTTTCAATATTACAATTAAGATTAAATTTCCTCCTGACCCCCTTGCCATATCTGGACACTTTCCTCCTACCCCAAGGTAACTCCTCACTAATTTGGTGGGTCTCCTTCTAGAGGTTTTTTGATGCATTTACACACATAAATATTCTCATAGAAAATATTGTTTTCTATGTGTGTGTGGGCTTTGTTTGGTATAATGAATGGCATCATACGGCTCTGCAATTTACTTTCTCACTCAAAAAAATATGTTGGAGATGGAATCACATGCAGATCTACTTCACTTTTTAGACTGCCCAATAATATTCCATAGTATTATCAGACCACTGTCATTTAACCATTTTCCTATAGAAGGACACTTAAATTGTATCCTTTATTGTTTGCAAGGGAAAGAGTTGCAGGAGCCTTGGATCTGTGCCCCTCAATGTCTTTTTTCTTTCCTCTGCAGAGACGTCTCAGAGAGGCTGTGCAGCTGCTGGAGGACTACAAGCATGGGACCCTGCGCCCAGGCGTCACCAATGAACAGGTAATTCTGCTGGAAGTGCGGGGGAGGGGGCAGGAAGGTGGCAAAGTCACATCCCCTTCCCTGCAGCCAGAACCACTCTCTTTTCTTCATTATCCACTTCTATGCTATTACATAGCCATGTGGACTTCTGGCTTTTTGGAGGAGACATTCAGTTCTCTCCCATACCCTGGGTCTCGTGGGAAGCATGGAGGCTGATAAGGCAAGTGAGACCCAAAGGCAGTAGTTTCCTGGAGCTGATGTGAATATCTCTTCCCAATTCCACATTCAGTGACATCACAGTGGTAGCTTGAGATCAGCCATGTGGGAATATTTCTACCATGGAAATTAGCAAATGCATCAAATCAGGACTTTCTTCCCAAAAGAACTGATTTTTAAACATTTACTAGTATACCACTACTCAAAAGTTCAGGTTGAGGATGGGAAAGACAGGGGAGGATAGTGGGGATTAGGCTAGAACACTAATTTCATTTTTCTTTTTTTATATCAGGTGGGAACCTGAACTAGAGCTAAGTGAAATGTTAATGGTTGTGTTTGGTTTGAAGGAATGGTAGAGGGATAGACTGTAGGGCTACTTTAATGATTATAGGGACTGAGGTTTAACATGCCAAAGTTTTTCTTTTTGTTTACAAACTTTATTTCAAAATCTTTTAAAAAATTAATTTCGTACTTTTTTTTTTTTTTCAAAATAATATGTGCTCAGGGGCACCTGGGTGGCTCAGTTGGTTAAGCGTTTGCCTTTGGCTCAGGTCATGATCCCAGGGTCCTGGGATTGAGCCCCGAGTTGGGCTCCCTGTTCAACAGGGAACCCCCTGCTTGTGCTCTCTTGCTTGCTCTCTCTCTCAAATAATTAAATAAATAAAATCTTTAAAAAAACCCACAAAAGTAATTATGTGTGCATAGTTCGAAAAATCAAATAGTACTAAAATACCTGAAGGAAAAATAGTATGCTGCCCCCATCCCTCCTCAATTCCCATTCCTTTTCTCCAAAAACAAATACTTTTAGCCATTTCTTCAGATAGAAATCTATGTCAAACTAATATGCTTATCTATAGTCCTATTTTTCACCTAGTTATTTTGTATTCAGCTGGATTCAACTGTCTTGTTATTTACCCCCATTAAAAAACACACATCTCTTCCCCATCCTCCTCACTCTCCCAAAATAGTTATTATGGATTTGGGGGTTTATGGGTATTCACAAGTCACATTATTACAATGACATAAATAGCATTTACTAATTTTTGTTTTCTCTCCTGTTCAACTTTATGTTTTACCTGGAGTTAATGATTGCCTTAGTTTTTCACAATGGCATGGTTTTCTTTATACCGTCTCTACCTCTTACTACATCCTCTAGCAGCCTTTTGATATTTTCAGTGCCTCCTTTCAATCTGAAGACTCCTGTCCTTCTGTTCCCTTTTCCCCTCCGAAATTTTCCTTTCTGGTATCCAACTCCTCCAGCTCCAGGCCTTCCTGTTGGTGTACACTTTCATTTTGGTGGATGACCTCTTTTAGTAGCTTCCTAAAAAAAGAGTAAATGGGAAGAAAATTGTGAGTCCTTTTATGTCTGAAAATTAATTCTGCACTCAGAGTTTTTCTTTTTAAGGCTTTTTTTTGGGGGGGGGAGAGAGAGAGAATGGGGAAGGGGTAGAGAGAGAATCTTAAACAGGTTCCATGCCCAGTACAGAGCCCGATGCGGGGCTTGATCCCACAATCCTGAGATCATGACCTGAGCAGAAATAAAGAGGCAGATGCCAACTGACTGAGCCACCCAGGCACCACTGCACTCAGTCTTAATTGACAGTTGGCTGAGAAGAAAATTCTAGGTTGACAGATATTTTCTTTCAGAATTTTGAAGACATTGCTCTATTGTCTCTCATGTCAGTATAGCTTCTGGAAATCTGATACATTTCATTTCTGATTCTTTGCAAGTAACCCATTTTCCCTGTTCGGAAATCTTTAGTATGTTCTCTATTAAATTTATTTCAGAAATTCCACAATGCCATCTCTTTTAAAATTCATTATTTTGGGTTCCTGGTGACCCCTTTTAATCTGAAGACTCCTACTGTCAGTTCTGGCAAATTTTCTTATACTGTTTCTTTGATAATTTCTTCTTATTCTGCAATTCCTATTAGTCAAATATTCAACATTTTAGATTGACACTTAGATTGTCTTATTTTTTTTTCTCTTCTCTTCCATCACTTTGTCATTCTGTGTGGCTTTAAAAGAAATTTCCCTGAGTTTATTTTCAGCATATTGACTGAAATTTTAACTTCAGCTAGTATAATTTTAATTTCCAAGAGCTCTTTGATTATTTTTAAAATTCTTCTTAATAGAATTCTTTTCCTGTTTTGTGAATACAGTAGCCATCTTATCTCTCTGCATTCTGGAAGCCACGTAGGGAGAGGAGGCTGGAGTCCCAATATTCGCTTTGCAGACTTTCATTAATTTCCTTGCTTTGAATCTCACCTACTCCCATCCTCCACTGTGCTGGTGTTCCCAATGGGATCACTTGGGTTCAGTTTCTCCAGAAGGTTGATAAACCTCCAGTATCTGGGGAACACAGGTGAGAGTGGTAAAAGTCACCTTGCTATATAGCAAAGACCTTGGGATCTTACTGCTTTGAGGACAGACTTTTAACCAGTTCCCTGTGTTTAGCCTTATGATTAGCCCTTTTTCCTAAGGTACCTGGTCCCTCCAAGTCTTGAGCTCTGCTGGTGTTTTGAGGGCAATTGACTGGCTCTTTAAGCATGGGCTCTGCAGGCACTTAGGGGATGGTTTCTTCCTCTCTACTGGATCAGTTACTAAAACTCTACTTATTTTCCATCCAAAACCATGTTGTTGTCCCTCCTCTGCTGTTGTCTCCTCTTCCATTCTTTTGGTAACTCTATGAGGCACTTCCCTTGTCTTCTAACACCTTTAGGTGCAAAGCCCATGCTGAGGCTCTGGGCTGCCAACATGACACACTAGTGCTTGGCTGGATGTTCCTGGAGTAGGTGGCTTAGCCATCAGCTCTCCCCAACCCAATTCATTTAATATGTATTTATGTATTTATGGAGTACCTGCAGGCCAGTTTTGGTGCTGGAGCCTGGGGGAGAGAACAAGGAACAAAGTAGACGAGAATCTTGCTTCATGGACCCCCAGAATCTAGGGAATGATTGTGAAAAGCCATGATACTGTAGGAGAGCAGAGGAAGGTGTAACCTGCCCAAACTGTTTGGAAGAGATTCTTGCCTGAGATTTGAGGGATGAGAAGGGGCTGGCCAGGAGACGCCGTGGGTAGGAGCTGTCCAGGTGAGGAGGCACATCATGAGCAGAGACAGCAGGCCCCTCCAAGGGAAGTCCAGACGAATGTGCTTGACTTGGCCACTTGAAAGGAGGGCAAATGTGTGAGCTGATGGAGCACCTTGGCCAGACGTCCTTGTGCAGGGCCCTGGGGGGTGATGGGAGATGGGACAGTGCTGGCTAGACAGCGTCTGTCTTCAGGCATCTGTGCTGCCATTAGGAAGGACAGGCCGTGACCAAATCATCCCTGAGTACAGTACTTCCCTCTGGCATTGGCACTGAGGAGCCTGGGTGGCATGACCTGACATGCCCTCCTTAGACCAAAGTGGTGCTCAGACCTCTGCAGATCCTCTTGGACCTGTCAGGGGTGAGTTCAGTGCCCCGGCCCTTCACCCTGCGGCAGCTCCGAGCCCAAGCTCCCTCTAGCTGAGGTTGGCCTACTGGGACTCCCTCCAGCATCCAGAGTTTGGCAAATGAGGCCACGTTTCTCCTCTCTACTCCCTTCAGTAGCTTAAAGTTGCCTGTCCTGTTTCCTGGGCCTCTTTTGTTTTTTGTGCTGAAAGCCCCTATGTGCCTCCAGGGAGCTGGGAGGAGGGGCGGTGGGGGGGGGCGGATCTTGGCACTAGCTGTGCTTCCCAATTCTGGCTCCTGTTGGTGATGCCTGTAGTGTCCATCTGGTGGGTGGGTAGCACAGTGCTCTAGGTGTGAGCCTGCTGCTCGGCCCCCTTACTAATCAGATCCTCCCTCTCCCTCCCTTTCTGGTCCTCCTGGCTCTCCAGAGCATCAGGGATTGGACTATATGGACTTGGATTACAATGCTTCCCCCACTTGGGCCTCCTCTACAAAGCTGCACCCCCTCTGGCCTCCACAGACAGGAACTGGATGGATGGGTGATGACATTTAAGCCCAGGGTTTGGGGAAGCCTCAGCAGTCTAGAGTTAACGATGGTCCCCCCATTCCTGGTCCAGGCTGGCCCTGCTCACGAGTCATGTCCAGGCCCAGGGTAGCTCTTGATCTCAGCCTGGACAGCTGCCTCATCTGCCCTGGGCTCTGTGCCTACTCCGACGTCCTTTTGCAGGCGTGTGGATCAGAAGCCTGTGGCTGCCTCCTGACGCCTGCGGGCCTGTCCCCATGTCACGGGCAGCACTGGGTAACCTGCCTACCAGTTTGTTATCTAACCCAGCCTCCGGTTATGCCATCTCACCAGCGGGTATACACAAGTGGATTGCTAGTCTGTTCACACCTGATGGCCTTTGTTTGGTCTTCTGTTAGTGGGTGGCTGATATCTCCAGAGACTGTTAACTTGTTAAAAGGTTGCTATACTAGTGAAAAATTGTCCTTAGGATAAAATAAAAATAAGTATGATTTACCCTTTGGGCTTGACAAGTAGAAATTTGATGTGCTGGGATCCCCAATAAAGACTGTAGTTCTCAGTTATACAACAAAGCCATAGATGAGAGCAAAAGTGTAAGCATAGGCAGCTGGACTAGATTTCTGGATATTGACTCTGCTGTGGGCACTTTATACACCGGGGTGTTGCTGCAATGGTTGGGTGTGCATGGAGATGGGTGGGGTTAAAGGTGAGAGACCCCTTATGGTAACAAGCCACCACTCACTTGGTGCTTACCGAGTTCCAGGCATTGCCCTAAGTATTAACGCTTTACACGTATTTCAGTTAATATTCACAGGAACTCTCTTTGGTAGGTGCCTGTATTAACCCCA